CGGAGGCTTTGACAAATCTGCTTGGCCTCCTTCTTCTGTCTTAGCTCATTCCCTTCCAGGTAGCGCCCCTCCGAGACCCTGGAATAACTGATTGCAGGGTGGGTTACGAACCCCTAGACTGAGTAGCCCACCCAACGCAATCGACAAATCCTGAGCGTCTGTCTCCTTCTGCCTTATATTCCCTTCTCTGTCTAGATGTATCCCTTCCTGCTGGGAGTAAAGGTGTGAGCCACCACTGCTTGGCTGTTTCTCTTTTAGACTGATTCAATCTCATGTAACCCAGGGTGGCCTTGAACTCACAGAGACCCACCGGCCTCTGCCTCCCAAGTGTTGGGTTTAAAGCAGTGCGCCACCACTGCCTGGCCTCTGTGGCTAACTAGTGACTCGCTCCACACTCTGATCCTCAGGCAAGATTTATTTGTTATAGCACAAACAAAATATCACCACATTTGTGTGTACGTATGTGTACGTGTGTGTGCACGTGCGCATGTATGCGCATGGTGTGTGTATGTGCATGTGTGTGTGAGGGTGTATGTTCATGCTACAGCACGTATGTAGAAGTCAGAGGACAACTTTGAGGAAGCAGTTCTCTTTTTCCACTGTGTCAGTCCTGGGTATTGAACTCAGGTTTTGGTGGCAGGTGCCTTTATGTGGTAAGCTACCTTGTGGCCCCAGGGATGTGAACTCTGGTCTCGATGCCTGGACGGTAAGTAGTTTATCCACTGAACTGTCTGCCCAGTGCCTTGAAGGACATCACTTTGTGTTAGGTGAGTGCTCCGCCATGCACCTGTCTCTCCACTCTCCTCCCATGCTGTGGGCTCCCATGCAGCTGCAGTCCATGGGCCCTGTGGGATAGCTGACCCGCAAGTCACCCTGTTCTTTCAAGTGCTCACATAAAGCATTTTTTTATTACACTTATTTAGTATTTAGTGTGTGTGTGTGCATCTCATGGCACACACAGAGAAGCCAGAAGACAACTTACAGGAATTGGTTCTCTCTTTCCACCAGGTCCCAGGGTCGTCTGCCTTCGTGGCAAGTGTCTTTACCCTCTGAGCCATCTCAAGGCCCATCATACAACCATTTTCCTGAAGGTCTCCTGGTCCATGACCTCTGACTGCCCTGTCCCTTAGTGCCTTCCAGTTCTGATTTAACAATCCATTGCTTCAGCCACTCTTGCTGTACCCTAACTTCATTTCCTCCTCCTCCATAGAAGCATTCCAGAAAATCCTTATCTCCAGATGACTGCTGCTGTAGTCTGCCCTTTGACCTGGAGTGCACGAGTGACCTCAAATAATCACGCCTCTGCTTGACTGGCTAGACTAAGCCTGGCCACCGGGTCCTCTGAGTCCTCACCTTTGCTCTACTCTTCCAGAAGGTTCTCCCCTCACACTCCCTCAGGCCTCCCTGTCGCAGACCTTGAGCCTCCTGCTAGCCTCCTTCACCCCACTTCTTCAGTTGCCCTTCATTGGCTCTAGTGCCCCAACACTCAGGTTTCTTCTGCCTTAAAATAGCCTTGCTCACCCCCCCCCCCACCTCCTCCAGTTACTCTCCAGCAGCCAAGCCTCATGGAGGATCGACCCCCTTTCCACCCCACTCTCTGGGCTTTGCCAGGCAGGCCTCTCCCTCTCCGCCAGGGGCCACTTCTCAGTCTTGCTGATGCCCTTCTGGCCACTTCCTTTGTCACTTGCCCCTCTTTCCGCATGGGTCCACCCTCCCTCCACCAGCGCTTTGGAGATGATTGGAGACTGTGGGTTTTGGGGTAGGTAGCACTGGTGCCCACCCATGTCTGCTCCTTACTGTACCACCTAAGTTCTCCACCGTCTTAGGAAACAGGTGATGGCAGCAGACACTTGGGGACTGACTTAGTCACTGTTCTGTTTGTGAAGAGACACCATGATCAAAGAAATCATTTAATTAGGGGTGGCTTACAGTTTCAGAGTGAGTCCTTGACCCTCAGGGTGGGTAACATGGCTGCAGCAGACAGGCATGGTGCTGGAGCAGTAACTGAGAGTTTACATCTGATCCACAAGCAGGAGGCAGAGAGACAGAGACTGGTGACACACCTCCTCCAGCCTTCCCAAACAGTCCCACCAACTGTGGACCAAGCATCCAAACCTGAGAACCCCTGGGAGCCATTCTCATTCACAGCAGCACAGCAGGATAGGAGTCTGCCCCCTGTGGTCAGGCACCTGTTGTCTCCCTACCTAGCTGGGCTTCTGGTTCTTTGCTTGTGCCCTGGGGTCTTGTTTACCTCCTGCCTGCCTTCCCTCTTTAAAACAGACCAGAACTAGCATTTGTTTCTGTCTCCCAGTGGTTCCTGCCCAGCTCCTCAGGGTTCTGTCCCGCCCTCCTCCTAGCCAACCCCTTCTTGTGCTTCCCTCTCCTGGTGCTGACTGACTCACACTCTCAGGGTAGCAGGCCAGCTTCATCTGATTCCTGAAGCCTTGCAGAGCCGTATGGAGGAGCTGCCTGGGAGCTACTACCCCAGTGCTAGAGAACAGAGCTCCCAGCCCAGAGGGCCCTCGTTTCCATGTGAGGGACATCACTTGGACCTATAAAAAGAGGCGTGAAGTATTTTCAGGTGGTGACTGCACTGTGATCGCGCGGCATCCTTGAAGGTGGTCAGGGAGAGCCTCTGTGGGAGGTGACATTTTAGTTGAGACCTGACCCACGGGGAGACCCAGCCAGGGAAGAGCCAGGACATGATGTTCCTGTCAGAGGGCCATGCTAGCAATGAGTCTGCCCTGTCTGAGAGGCCAGTGTTGCAGACATGGGAGAACTTGGGCTACAGCTGGCAGGAAGGTGGTTCCGAGTACACCCTCCCCCGGAAACATAGCCCTTGTGTGCTTTTGCTGCTTCTGAATGGTGACCTATAACTCCTCAGCTCCTGTCCTCTGCCTTCCTCCCTCAGATCATCCCCCACAGCGGTCCTTCCTCCCTCAGTCAGACCATCTCCACAGGGGTCCTTCCTCCCTTAGTCAAACCATCTCCACAGGGGTCCTTCCTCCCTTAGTCAAACCATCTCCACAGGGGTCCTTCCTCCCTCAGCCGGGGCCTGGGGGCCTGGGGGGGGGCTGGGTTCGACTCTCCACAACCGTCCTTTCTACCTCTTGTCGAGTTTTGCTCCATGTCCTATCACTAGCCTTGTCTCTCACCAGCCCCCAAGTCCACTGGAGCTTCTGAGTCCGCCATTCTCCACTGATATCATGGTGTCTTTTATTTTTCAAAGAT